ACATTGTAATTTTTATTGATAGCATGTCGTTAGTAAGAGTTTTTTCTTTTTTTTTAAAAAAAAGGAAAAAATCACATCAGTGAATTTTTTATATATATATATTAGGATCATCAAGAATTTTTTTTTCAAAAGGAAAAAATTACATCAGTGGTATATTGAAAAAATAATTATAAATCAATGAAAAAAATTATAAATATTAATAATTAAAATCATAAATTTTTATTAATTTATATTTTTTTCCTGACATCAATCGATGTAATTATTCCAAAAAAAAAAAAAAAATCGCAAAGCAAATTTTGAAAGTACAGAGTCAACAAAGACACAAGCAGTCAACGAAAAATTAATTTGTTCGAAAGGTATTTTAAAAAATTATTATAAAATAATAAAAAAGTTTATAATTTAAATTATTAATATTTATATTATTTTTTGAATTCCTCTCTACATGTAATTATTACTCTATGAGTGTTTGGGAAGTTGATTATTTTAATAAATTAAGGTCTTATTTATTGTAATCTAAAAAAATTAAAAAGTCACTATCCTATTTAATTTATATTGTCTTATTTAAGTCACATCACTTCTTTACCACATTATTTCAAACCCAACCTATAATTAACTCATATTTCATAAAAAGTCAAAAAGTACACTTATTTAGAATATCCCAAACAACTCCTAAAATTATTATATTTGAGAAGATGATTGAATTTTTTTATAATTACAAATGATATTTGTAAAAAAAAAAATTACAATAATTATAAATTTGGTGTGATATTTTATTTGATTATTTTAATTTATTTTTTCTTTTAATGCTATTTTAGTCAAAAAAATAATAAAATAAAATAAAAAAAAGAAAACAGTCCAAAACGACGGGTTTGTTTGAAATATGCTATATAAGTATACTTTTTGACTTTTTAGTTAAAAAAGTAAAGAAAAAATATGTATATTTGGGATAAATTTTTAACTTTTTAAGAAAAAATATGTAATAAAATATTGTAATAAAATAAAAATGACCATTCTACCCTTATTGACTTTTTGACTTTTAACTTATTAATTTTTTGATAGTTAAATTCAAAAGACAAAATAATAATTTTGCCCTCTAAACTTTTCTACAAGCTTTTTCCAAATAATATGAAGTTTTTGATTTTTTAAGAACTTTTTATATCACAACCTAAGCTGTAATTTTATTTTAAGAGCATCACATGGTGCAAGTATAGTAACGGAAATTATTCAGTACTTCAGGAACTCCAGGTCATCATCATGAGGTGGTGCTCCCAGCTTGTGCCATTCAAGCATTTTGGCACTTTGACTAGCTTGTCAGCATTCCATCTTAAGGTCTCAAACTTCGTTAACCGACGTTAACTTTTAACACTAGAAACTATTTTCTAATGTTTCAAGTTGTTGCTTCAGATTTCAAAAATCAAAATTTGAAATTTTGCCATCAAAAGGCAACCAATGAAACTATGATCATCTCTCACCTCTCTGTCTCTCTCTACGATTGTTCATGCTCACTTTTTCTTTATCACTTTCTCTCTCTACAATTGTTCATGGGTAGCGGCACCACCGACCTCCATTGTCGGCAACATTGCAACACCAATTCCAGTGCTTCGCACAGAGAGCATGTTTGCAGAAACCACTACCATAACAGTGCCCCCAAGATCCTCAACTTCTCGGACAACACAACCTATTATGCCATTGGTGTTCGCAGCTAGGAAAAGGTTTGATACATTGTCATTTATGAGGACTGTTCCGGTTGTATTTTGTGGATTACATTTTATATTGATTGCCAGGGACCTCTGGTGGATTTGTTGACATATAGAGGTGCAATGAAGAAGAAAGACCATTGTAATTCTCAACTCTGTACTGCGTTTAGATAGATAATACCAGAAGTTTTATTTCACATCCACTTTTCTTTTCTTCAACACTGTTTGGAACTAAATCATCTTAGATGTGAGATTTCAAAATGAAAAAAGACAAGGGGTATGTTTGGTTTGCATTTCAGAGATGAGTTTTAGAAAAAAAAATTTCAAAAATTGTTTGGTTTGAGTTTTTCTCAAAAAAATTTCAAAATCACTTTCTCTCTCTTACACATCAAGCAATCACTTTTTCTCTCATACACATCTACTCAAATTCTTCCAAAATATCAAATCATTCCAAGCTCCAAAAAAAACAACTCTCCCAAAATATACAACCAAACAAACCAAAAAAATTTCTAAAACAACTCTCCCAAAAACAAATCAAATATTTTTGTTAAAGGAAAATCTTCACATTCTTTCCGCAGATCTAAGGTAGTGCTCATGACGAGATCATTAAGGTGTTTTATTGTCCGTTCTAAATGAGATACTATAATATGAAAATTTGCATCGATTCCTTAATATAAGTCCCATTTAAATTAAGATTCGCACAAAAAAAAAAAAAAGTCAAATCCACACCAATTTATTACATAGCCTCACCTTAAAACTCTCTCCCAAGCCAACTGCGCTACCGCCTAAGGTTACTACTGCACACTTCATTTCCACCAAAAGCAACACCACTCTTCCTTTCAACAAACCACATAAACCAATGCCAAGACCCACGCCTGAAGTACACTGTTTCATAGCATAAAAAACGTGTCGCACGCGTGTGGAGCACTGCCACCACGTTGCTCTGCTCTGCTGATCCAGCAAAGAACCACCAACACAACACAATGTAGGAGTAAATTGCATATAAGAGGTTTATGATACTCTTTTTTATTGGGTTTATTAATTAAAATATTTTTTTTAATTTTATTTAATAAAAATAGATAATGATTTTTTTTTTGAACCAAAAACGTAAGTAATGATTTAAATTGAAAAAAACACAAAAGATTATAATTAAATTCATAAAATTAAAAAAAATTAAGATTTATTTTATTATAAAAGTAAAACATTGAATTTTTTTTTTCTTTTAGTAATTTTTCAACTTAAAATTTTGAAGAGTTAAGCAAACCAGTGAATGGTATTGAAATTTTGTATAATGGATACATCATGCTAATTTACATCTTACACAAAATGTCATCTTAATCTCACGACTTAAGATGTTTGGATTGGATTTCCAAAAATCTTGACCCGTTAATTTAATTAAAATTTTATGGAAATATATTGTTTTTGCTTATTTATTTATCATTAATCTGTAATTTTTTCTTGAGCAAAGTTTTTTTCTAGTCCACTTTGTGGACTGGATGATACTGATAGGCCTATAGAACCCACCATATGTCTTATTTTAATGATCCGAACTGCTTAATCTGTAGAACTTGTCGAGCACTTCATCTTACAAAAAATATATTGATCAATATCGATAGCCCTTTGATCAAAATATATTTTTGTCAATAATTTATTTTTTAAATTATATTTACTGTTGACAAAAATAGGATTCATGTAGCCGACCCCATTTGATGGGACTTAAGTCTTGGTTTGGTTTGATTTGGTTATTTACTATTGACAAAAATATGATTGGATTGAGAGGTTATCGATAATTGATTAATGTAATATTTTGTATAGATGAAATATTCGTTAAATTTTATATATTAAAAAATTTAAATTTTACCTTATGGACCTAACTATACTGTCCAGTTGTCTGCTTTTTTTTTTTTTTTTTTTTTCTTTTTCTTTACCTTTTCAACTGATATGTTATTTCTCATTAGAAAAAGATTGAACGTTCTAAATTAAGAGCTCTAATTAGTGTGTTTGGTTTCAGTTTTTTGAATTTAATTTTTTGAAATTAAATTTTTTATTTTTCGTGCTTTTTTTTGTTTTTAGTGAATATTTTTAAAGTTTTAAGTAATTTTTTTACTTTTTTAAATGTACTTTACTTAGATGTATCTAAATAGTAAATTATTTATGAAAAATATTTTAAAAACTTAATAAATATACAAAAATATGAAAAATGTATTGAATTTTCATATATATTTTTTTATTTTTGGTATTTAGTGAATTTTTTAAAGATTTTTTTCACAGATATTATACTTTTTAAGTGTATTTATGTTAAGTGTGTCCAAAAATTTAAAAAATTAGCTTAAAATATTAAAAAAAATTTGGTGAAAAAAAATACAAAAAATAAAAAAAATAAAATTTTCTAAAATGAAAATTCTAAAAACTAAAACCCAACAAAGTGATTACATTTCTTAATAAAATTATTAAATAAGCAAACCTAAACCATCCCTTAAAAACTTTTGAATTTTCATTTTTTTATTTTTTATTTTTAATAATATTTTAAAAAAAGTTTTAGTAAATTTTTTAAATTCATCAACATAAGGCGAATTTGAAAAATAAAAAAATTTTGACATAATTTTGAAAAAAAAGAAGCTAAAGACAAAAAGTTTTTTAAAAAAATGTGACTTTTTTTAGAGTTGGTTTAGAGATAAAAATTACTTTAACTCAGGTTCAACATTCCATAGTCGCGAGGTCTTTACTCGAGGCTGGGGCTAACGTAGCCTAGTTCCCTTTTTTTTTTTAACCAAAAAAAAAATACAATTTATAATGTTAAGGATACTCAATATATTATGTAGAAATTAGAGAAAATTACACTCACTTCCCCTAAGATTTCTAATAAATACAAGGACCTCCCTTATGGTTTGAATAATTACACATATTTTGAAAAAAAAAAAATAAAGCTAAAAAAAAAAAGCTTTGTAAAAAAATGAAACAACTGTGTCATTTTGGACAAATAATATTATTTTAAACAAAAAAAGATTTAAATTCAATTCAAAATTTTCAAAAATAAACCTCTAACGTTATTGCCCTTATATATATATATTTATATTTATATTTATATTCTCATGAGTTAAAATTAAAAAATACCACTTCAAGAAAAATACATATAAAGCCCATCCCATTATAAAGGGTGTACTTTATTTTCTCTATATTTTGGGAGGATGAAACCTTGCGTAAACGTAAAATATGATACCTTGCCTAAACACAAAATATATATATTTTTTTCCTTGCATCTCTTCTCAAAAATAAAAATATTATTATTTTTTTCTTTTATTGTGATGGTAGTAGTGTCCCAAAACCAAAACTTGATTACTATTCAAGACCAAATAGCCAAAATATTGGATTTACAAAATTTTGGGGGAAACAATTTACCTACTGGAGCAGGGAAGATACGATCAAAAATATTGAGCTTTGGAAGAGTCCTTGTAATATTGGATGATGTATGGAAGAGACTAGAATTGGATGACATTGGAATTCCATTTGGAGATAATCACAAGGGTTGCAAAATTGTGATGACTTCAAGAAGTGAAGATGTGTGCAACAACATGGACACACAGAAGAATTTTGAAGTTGGTGTCTTACATGAAGAAGAAGCATGGAATCTCTTCAAGGAGATGGCTGGAATTTCTGACGAAGGTACAAGTCACCCAACTAATTTACAGTTGACGCAGATCGCAGTTGCGGAGGAATGTGGAGGCTTGCCGATTGCTATTGTTACAGTTGGGAGGGCACTTAGATGCAAAAACAAGTATTCATGGGATTCTGCTCTTGAACAATTACGAAAGTCTATGGTCAAAAACATCAGTGGAGTGGATGAAAAGGTGTTTAAATCTCTGGAGTTGAGTTATGATAAGCTTGAAAGTGATGAAGCCAAGAAATGCTTTCTACTCTGTTCTTTATATCCGGAAGATTTTGATATTCCAATTGAATATCTTGTTAGATATGCGATTGGGATAGAGTTGTTTCAGAGCATTGACAGTGTGCACCAAGCAAGAAACAGAGTATATTCCACAGTTGATAACTTAAAAAAATGCTATCTATTGATGGAAAGTGAAAATGAAGAGTGTATCAAAATGCATGATGTAGTACGTGACGTGGCTATATCAATTGCATCTAGGGAGGAGCATTCGTTTTTGGTGAGATGTGATGAAGTATTGACAGAATGGCCCCAGAAAAGCCGACTTCAAAAAAACACCGTAATTTCATTGAAAGTTAATGGTATGTACTGGCTTCCTAGTAATTTAGAATTTCCAAATCTCCAGCTTCTACAGCTGGATTGCAATGCTGGATTACCAACAATCTCATCATATGATCTCAACAAAGGGATGGAGAAGGTCAAAGTACAAGAGACCCCAGATAGTTTCTACAAAGGAATGAAAGAACTTAAAGTGCTAGCTTTATCCGATATGTACAGCTCATTGCCAACATCAATTCAATGCTTGACCAACCTTCGAACTTTGTCACTTTTTTGTTGCCGACTTATTGATGATGATATCTCTATAATCGGAGCATTAGAGAATTTGGAAATTTTGAGCTTTGCCGTCTCTTATATCAAGGAATTGCCAAAAGAAATAATAGGTCACCTTGCTCATTTGAAGGTACTTGATTTGTCGGGATGTGTAGTGGAACTGGTTTACCCAGGGGTTTTGTCAAGCTTATCAAAGCTAGAAGAGTTGTATGTTGGGTCTAGTTTTCATAGTTTTTGTGAAAAAAACAAAGAAGGTGCTAAAGCAATTATCGATGAGCTGGCGTCCTTGTCCAATTTAGTCGCTTTGGATATTGCTCTAATAGACATTGCCTTCTGGCCGAGAGGTTTGGTCGTTGAGAAGGTAAAAAAGTTTGATATAACTGTTGGCTCTAACTCATCATTTCTCCCTGCGTATCCGTTATCAAATCGGTTGCATCTCAGAAATGAAATTGTGTGTGACATTATTGAATCGAGGCTTAATTTGCTGTTGAAGAGCACTGAAATTCTGACTGTACACCGAAGTATAATAGGTTTGAAAATTCTCTGTGATTTGGTCAACGAAGATGGTTTTGAATGCTTAATGGTGTTATTGCTAAATGACTTGTATGATTTGGAATACCTCATCAGTACAGCAGATGGGGTTCGACAGAGTGCTTTTCCTGTGTTAGAGTGTCTACATCTTCATGAGCTACATAATTTCAAAGGGATTACTAGTCATGAATGCCGACTGCCGAACAAGGCTTTCAGTGCATTGAAAGAGTTGACACTAAATAACCTGCATGAACTGACAAATTTGTGGAAAGGTCCCACCCAACTTTTATGGCTCGGCAACCTGAGGACTGTAGATGTGTTAAATTGTAAGAAACTGGAAAGTATGTTCTCACTGTCCATAGCTAGAGATCTAGTGCAACTGCAGGTCCTTCAGATTCGTAAATGTTATGTGATGGAAGAAATTGTTTCGAGTGAAGGAGGAGAGCATGAAATGGCAGCAATAGCAACAGGTAAAATCGAGTTTCCTAAACTGAAGGAATTGCGTCTTCAATTGCTGCCAAGTTTTACTGGTATCTGCAAAGCGATAAATAAAATTGAGGTGCCACAACTGAGTTCCTTGTCACTGTCAAATATACCAAAGCTGAAGCGTCTCTGGGCTGCTTCAGATTCAGAGAGTAATTGTGATCCCATCATTCAACCCCTCTTCAACAAGGTATGCTTCTCTTATTTAAGAGCTTAATTAATTGCTAATTTGTGAACTACTTTTCATTTTATTTAGAAGAAATATCATTTTTTCCCCCGAACTTTCACCCATTTTTCAATTTGACCCCTAAAGTTCAATTAATATCAATTTTACACCAAAACTTTCAAAATTTTGATCAATTTGGCCCCCGCCGTCACATTCCGTCTACAATTCGATGAAATGTGCTAACATGGCATCAAAGTTCATTAGAAATTTCATTTTACCCCCCAAACTATATCTTAAAAATCAATTTGCCCCCCAAATTAAAAATCAATTTGCCCCCTAAACTATATCTTAAAAATCAATTTACTCCACACGTCACATTCTGTCCAATTGTAGATAGAATGTGATGGCAGGGGCCAAATTGATCAAAATTTTGAAATTTTAGGTGTAAAATTGATATTAATCAAAATCTGGTGGTCAAATTGAAAAATATGTAAAAGTTTGGGTGGCGAAATGATATTTTCTCTTTTATTTACTATTATATCTCTATTACTGGTTTAATTTTTTTTCATAATTGCATAATAAGATCGTGTGAGTTACTTTTACGTCATGTTCACTGTTTACATACATATTTGTGTTTATATATCTTTCATCATACCAAATAAAAATAAGTAGAAAAAATTGGTGAAAAACCCATTTTAACAATTGTCTAAGGTATTAGATCCAAGGGATATTTTTTGTTGATGAGAGGTCCATGTTTTGTAAATAGTTTGGTGAGAAGTTTTAGAGAACATTTTGTTTCCAATTTTACCTCTTGACTTTTTTTTTATCTGTTTGACTTTTTGTTCATTATCTGTTCAAATTTATATTTATTTGTTCAAATTTTTTTTTATCTGTTTAAATTATTTTCTATCTGTTCAAATTTTTTGTCTATCTATTAAATTTTTTTAACTTATCTATTGAATTTTTATAATTCATTTTTCCTATATGTTCAAATTCACACTATTTTCAAACTGTCTCTCTCTACTTTTCTTTCTCTCTCTATCTATTTCTCTCTTTTCTCTTTTCTTTTTTTTCTCTCAATCTGTTGAATTTTTTTTGAATCTATCTGTTAAAATTTTAATCTATATGTTATATTTACTAAGCTTATTTTAAATCTATCTGTTCAAATTTTGATCCTATCTGTTCAATTTTGTGATTTTATATGTTTAAATTTTGATCCTATATTTTGATCTACTCAAATTGTGGTTGTGTGTGTATTTATCTTATATTTGAATGGATAATCTATCATTTTCTATCCAAAACACAACAGATAAACACACACACACAAACACACACACAACCAGAGAGATAAACAACAACAACAATGATCACAATAATCAACAACAAAAAAAATTACAAAAACAAAAAAACACACACACACACACACAACATTGATATGTCCATTCAGCTTCAAATCAAAGACCTTTCCACTAACCACATTCTTCACCTTACCGAGTGGTTGTTGACGATGAAATCGACAATGCAGTCGGTAAGCCTTTTTTCTACCTGTTATGTGTCTAAGCTGAAGATGATGACGAATGAGTGGGTTACGACAGCGCTAATTGACGACTCGGTGGTGGTAAAGCTGGTGTTTCGTCTGAAGCACTCATTGGATTCTTTGGAGATGCTACGGTGGTGCCAATGCCAGCCGCGGTTGAAGCTAGCTCTAACCTCTGCGAAGAAGGAGGACGAGTCAACAAGGTGTAGCCCTACCATGTCTCTATCTTAGAGTTGCGGGAGTGACGATTGGATGAGTCCAGCCGCCCTTTCGATCCTTCCTCTAGTGACAGATCCAAGGTTTATATCCCCTTCTCTCTGGACTTCCTCTTTTCCTTACTGGCTTCCTAATCTCTATTGTACTTATTTCTTCGATTGACTGAAACACCTATGGCCAACGCAGTCGGTACTCTCACCGTTGATACTCTCATGTCCAGAGAAGGCCAGAGCTCGCCGCCGTTCGTTGGCGTGATCTTAGATCTTAGATCTGGAGACTCGGATCTGGATCTCAGTCTATTCCTTGGCCTCTTTACCACTATCATCAGCCTACGGCTTCATCGTGTCCCAGATCGGCTTCACTACACTCCGCCGGCGCCGGTCATCAATGATGCTCATGAGAGAGAGAGAGAATAGAGAGAAATACAGTTAAGAGAGAGAATAGACACATCAAATATATATATAGAGAGAAACATGTTTGATGATAAAATAGAAAGACGTGTGATTTTAAATATATGGGGGTAGTTCAGTCATTATATAGAAGTATGTCCTTATGGACATAATAATTTTGGGCTTGAACCTTTGGACAAAAGAAATTTGGATTTGGACTGTTGGACAGAGCGTCCAAATAAATAATAGGGAATGGATCTCTCTAGCAATTCGGCCCACTGTGAGCCTACCTCGGTCCCATATTAACAATCTGAATAGTCCATTTTGTTAGACCGTTGAGTAGATAATTCATTGTAAAAATTAGATTGATCGGACACTACAAGTCACTAAATCATATCACATTTGAATAAAAAATAATTAACAACTAGTAGAATTTTCAAAGTAGTCAATCAAATTTTTTTAAACAAATGAGATCCGATCAACTTAATTTTTGACATAGATGATCTTCTTGGAAGGTAGGGGTGTAAATCTGGCCCGGTCCATGTCGGGTCTTGTGGGCTCTTGCCAAAATTCAGGCCGGGCAACCTACGGGCCAAAAAATTAAGCCCCGGCTCAGGTCCAAGCCCAGGGGTATTTGGGCCTTGGGCGGGCCGGCCCAATGGGCTTGGCCTTGGGTGGGACTAACCAGTTTTGTTTTTGTTTTTTAAAATCTTTTCTATCAAAATTTTATTATTTTCTATTAAAAAATACACTGGGCCTCGGGCTGGTCGGGCTTTGGGTTGGGTCCTAAGTGGGCCTTAAGTGGGCCAAGCAGGCCGGGCTAGGCTTTAAAACGATGGCCTTGACCCAGGGGCTCGGGCCTGGGCCCAAGCCGCCCGCTTGGGCCTATCGCGAGCTGCGGGCCATTTTTACACTCCTATTGGAGGGTCATACAAAATGAACAGTTTGGAGCACTACAACAATTTTTAGAGGCAAAAATTAAGGAATTAAATATCTTAGTTGCAAAAATAAAAATCATTATTATATTTTTAGCGATGAAAATGACATTTAATAATCAATTACTATCATTTTGGAACAAAATTTTTGTGTCAAATAAGTAAACCTTTTTTAAATCAAATTGTTTTGTTTCTAGAAGGACATTTACTAGTGACATTTTAAAATTGTCACTAATAATCATTTTTTTACTTTTTCAAACACCTTTTCCGAACGATTGAAATTTGCATCCTAATATTTTTTTTGGGATAAAAAACACTTTTAGTCCCTAAAGTATGCATTTTTTTTTATCCTTTTTATTTTAGTCCTTTAAATTTTAATTTTATCATTTTAGTTTTCAAAGTTATCAATTTGAGTCAATTTAGTCCTAAATTTAACGTTCATCTACATTGATGACAAGAATATGAATAAAAAAATAATTTTGGTCCCTAAAGTATGCGATTTTTTTTTGTCATTTTAATCTCTCAATTTCTAAATTTTGTTATTTTGGTCCTCAAAGTTGTTAATTTGAGTTAATTTGGTCCTAACTCAAATTGATAAATTTCAGGACTAAAATGACAATTTAAATTTGAGGGATTAAAATGACAAAAAAAGCATAGTTTAGGGACCAAAACTATCTTTTATTCAAGAATAAAATATATTTCTAGTCATTAATGTAAACGGACATTAGAGATAGGAATAAATTAACTCAAATTGACAATTTTGAAGATCAAAATGATAAAATTAAAATTTTAGAGACTAAAATGACAAAGAACGCGTATTTTGAGGACTAAAATTATCTTTTATCCTATTTTTTGTAATAATATTTTTGCTTGAGGACAAAAATATTTGTTAAATTTTTTATATGTTGTAAAAGATCATTGAGATCATTGACGCGGGACCCACCCCCATAGAGCACAACAATGACAAAATTTTAGATCGAAGGATAATTATGTTATAAAAAATATTTATATTATCAAACAGATCATTAGTACATAATAGAAAGTCAACTCTATAGTATGGGAGAAATAAACCAATCACCACAAAAGGAATCAAACTTTTTTTCATAAAAGTTGACCTTGAGATCTCACATCATAAAAAATGTTGCACAATCACTAGGTCACCCATCAATTTAAAAATTATACATTTAACTTAATCCTTCACTCATTTTGTACCGATCATAAATGAATAGAGATTTAATTTTTTCTTTTTGGGGAAATTTTTGAATTTCTTAACTTTACTAAAACTTATTAAAATGAGATTTGATTAAACATTATGAATTTAGTGTAAATTTGAGTTTTAATTTATTTTGTTCTAATAATAGCTTGATACATTAAACTTTATAAAATAAGAAGTCTAACTGGGTTATGTAGGCTACATTTTAGCATTTATGCATTTTTTTAGTAATATCTAGTCAATGTGATTATATAAGAAAAGATTTAGGGCAAAGTACGTTAATAGTGTTTGTATTTTGGTCTTTGTATCATTTTGGTATTTATAATATCATTTGGCTCAATTCAAGGCCGACCCTAAGCTGAACCCTAAATTTGGATAAAATTTAGGACCCTCCATTAGAAATAGGTATAGTGTCATTTTATTTTAAATTTATGTCAGAATTACTTTAATACTAATAATTCAATTCATTTATTTTTTCTGTTAGAACATTGCTATTCAAGTCTAAAAATTAAATCCAATTTTCAAGTCCAATCATGTGGCAATCAATTAGGACATCTAAGGTAACGCTTTCTCTGTTGATAATTAAATATTCTTTTATTATCAACCAATCATCTTCTTGACATATCACTGGGTCTATAAAGCGGATCTAAAAAGTAGACTTGTATATCATTTTTCTTTTTCTAATCATCAACCAATCATATCACTTACATATTATTGGATTTAGAAAGTAGACT